GCCAGTGCTAGAGGAATTAATGAGTCAGTTTATCATTCAGTTGAGGACGTTAGTGTTCCTGATCAGGTACCACTAACCAACACTCACCCTATGGTTACTAGAAGCAAGCATGGTATTTTCAAACCTAGGTGTTCCTTGCTATGGAAGAAACTGCTATACCTACTGATATTCATCAGGCTATGAAGTCTAGTCAATGGACATCAGCTGTTCACGATGAACTTGCTGCCTTACAACGAAATGAAACATGTACATTGGTTCCATTGCCAACTGGACGAACATCAGTTGGGTGCAAATGGCTATTTAAGCTGAAAAAATCCCGATGGCTCAGTTCAACATTACAAAGCCAGGTTAGTTGCAAAGGGATTTCTGTAAATACCAGGACAAGACTTCAAAGAAACATTTAGTCATGTGGTCAAATTCCCAACTTTAAACGTTGTTCTATCCATAGCTGTAATAAACAAGTGGCCACTATGACATGTGGATGTTAATAACGCTTTTCTCCATGGTGATTTAAATGAGGAAGTTCATGCAACAACCGCATGGATTTGAGAAGCTAGCTGAGGATGACACCAAGCTTGTATGTAAGCTTCATAAGGCCTTGTATGTCCTGCGTTAAACTCCCAGGAACTGGAACAACAAACTGAAAGATAGCCTGATATAGATGGGGTTTCAAGTGTCAAGGGCAGATGCATTCTTGTTTATTTCACTTGCTCAAGGGAAATAACTTATATACTTGTCTATGTCAATGACATTGTGATCATTGGTCAATCAGTTGCTGCAATTGAACGAGTGGTTCAATCACTCAAAAATAATTTCTCGTTGATTACTTCTTGGGGATTGAAGTCCAGCGTAGTACTGCTGGTCTTATGTTGTCTCAAAAAAAGTTTATTTCAGAATTGTTGGAGAAGTCAGGTATGACAAAGGCAACTCCTACCAGCACACCTATGGTAGTATCTAATAAACTTCAAAGAGATGCTGGAAAACTTATTGAAGATGCTCGAGAGTTTCGGAGTATAGTTGGTGCATTGCTCTATGCATGCCACACAAGACCAGACATAGTGTATAGCGTGAGCAAGATTGCTCAATTTATGCATGAACCATGCGAGAATCATCTGCAGGCTGCCAAACGTATTCTAAGATACCTAGCTGGCACAATTGAGTATGATTTGCTCTTCAAGCCATCAAAGGAAGCACTAAGAGTTGTTGTATTCGCAGATGCTGATTGGGGTGGTTGTGTGGATGATCGAAGATCTATGTCAGGTCATTATGCTTTACTTGGTGGTAACTTGGTGTCCTGGAGTACAAAGAAATAGAAGGTTATCTCCATATCCACCATGGAAGCAGAATATCGCAGTCTTGCAGATGCAGTTGCAGAGGTGACTTGGATAGATGCATTGTTGAATGATATTGGAGTAACACGGCAGGAAAAACCAATCGTTTGGTGTGATAACATGAGTGCAATATCATTAAGTGCGAATCCTGTTCAACATGCACAATTTAAGTATGTAGATTTAGATGTGCATTTTGTTAGGGGAAAAAATTGTTGGAAATCAATTATATGTTAGCTATGTTCCTGCTGCACATCAACTTGCAGATGGGTTCACAAAGCCTTTGTCAAAGTTAGCTTTTACAGTGTTTTGAAAGCAAGTGAATGTTTGTCTAATAAAGAAAGGAGAAGAAGAAGAAATAGGAGGAATGTTGGAAGAATGATCGAGCTGCAGGATAACGCGTATGGTGTGCATGGAGAAGGTTCAAGAAGATTGAAGTTAAGCTCATAGTTGATGATATACGATGTGTTGTAGGCAATCAGAACCACATGTTGTTAGGTTGTTGTTGCACGGTTATATTTGTCAAAGTTTGTTAAGAAGGTTACTTCTTAGTTCAGCAACCAAGTGCTATATAATTATGTACTTCTTCACTCGTTAATGAATGAAAATTGTAGTAATTGTTTTTGAAATAACTCTCATTTCTCAACAATGTTGTAGTCCACTTTTACTACCTGACCAATTTCAGCAGCAATGACATTAAATAACGACCTCGTATAATAATGATACGGAAGCCCCAGGAGACGAATCCAAACCACCACTTGCGAAGGATGGCCATTCGATGTCAAGATGCTACGACTCCAAGGTTGAACGTCAGGTAGCTACCAAACACAACCCAAGGTCCCTTAGTGAAGACTTTATTATAATCGTCCCTACAATCCAGTTTCACCAAATAATAATTATTGTCCAAGTCGATCAAGTGGAAATTACCTTGAGGTTACAACAAAGCCTTTATCTTATTCCATAACGCTCGATAGCCAGTTGTCTTCCCCAACAAACGGACAATAATCGACATGCTCATGTTTTTATCGATAGACTCATGCACCCTATCCGAAAATTGGATTCGAGGGATTGATTTCGTCCTATCAATAATAACATCCCATCTTGGAACGACATATCGTTGTTTTCAAATACGCTGCTAATTGGTTGATATCCTCCACTAGTCCTTGTCACCATATCCACGTACGAGACTCTACCAACCTGCTCATCGCTTGGAGCATTTTGCACTATCTGATGCTCATCCAATGCACAAATATCTCCACCCGACAAGTCTAGATCCCCCGTCTCCATCGAAGTCTCCAGTTGCTCAAACACCATCGGAGCATCTGTTATACCCTCCATTACCACCGCTTGGTCACCGATCGCCCTAGCAGTCGAAGAAACACCCATACAAAACACAAAACCCTACGTGCTCCTAAAAGTTCGAAAACCCTACGCCATTGTTTTTATTTTTTTCCTTATAATTTTCAAATTTTGAGTTAACATGTAACTAATAAGATGTTAATTTTAAATATTGTAAGAATGTTTTGATCTTTTCCGTGCATAATCAACTTTTGAGCTTAATTTTTTTATCATTAACTTTAAAGTTGTGTTTTTAGTTCGGGTTTACAAGTCTTTATTTTATAAAACAAAAACTGACCCAGCATCTCTGTACTTTTATATATCATCAAAATAGTAACCGAAGATTTTATTATTGAACGTAATTACAACACTTATTTAAAGCATCAAAGCCTGCTTAGAAAATAAAACACTTTATAATCTTCATAGAGTATTTTGAACCCCAAAAGAGGGAAAAAAGAAAAAAGAAACATCAAAAAGGGGCAGTAAGAGGTTCCTTAACAAGATTGTTCAAGTGGGGATCTGGTGATTCAATGTGTAGGGTTTCACATTGGCACGGTCTTCCCACTATGCTCACAGCCTTTTCATCCTTTTCTTCCTCATTCACCACTTGTTTTACTTCAACACCTCCAATTCCCTGCAACAAACCCATCCCTCTTAATTACCACATGTAAATCAGTTAAAATTGAGATACCATGTTTATTGCAAGAATCACGTGACTTTATTGCTTGAGGTCTCGAGTTCGAGCACTATGTACGTAGTGTGAATGTTTTTTATCAAATGGTTGAAAGTCTTTGAATAGACACTAAATAAAATACAGGGTTTATTTGAAAGCACACCTGGGGTGCGGCTTCATTTGGTTCAATCTTCTGAGCAGCCATTTCCTGCAACCAAAGAATGACATTTGATCATTTTTAGTATTCGAAACAACAGTGATAACAAAACAAGAGGCATACATATACCCTGACATGATTGAGTTGGCCTTGATCAAGGGTTCTAGGCTCCATCTCAATGGAACAACACACGTTAGCCATGACACCAAACAACAACAGCACTGATTTTTCAACTCATAAATACGTAGAGCAGCCCGTTAGCTATAACTTAACACATATAAATACATGCCCGTATTTCCTTTTTGTTATCAGAGTCACGGATATTGTTGAAAAATTATTTTAGTCAAATACAGCCTTACTGTCATTCACGTAAATCCCGTGGCTGCCTCTTCGAGTTTCATGGTGGGTAATGCATCAACGTTCATCCTCGTCATCTTTTAGTCTTTAATCTTTATCTGTGAGCTGTGAAAGTGGTCACAACACCAGCAACTTTTACTTGTTATTCTTGGACAGAAATTAAATAAAACTAGTTTCCTGGCAAATTTTCTTCTCCTCTATCCGTTATAGTAAGCGAAATAACAAGGGTAAAGAGACAACTGGTTAAAACTTATTTGTGTGTGTATATATATAATAATTGAATAATATAATGCAGCATCTAATCATATCCCTTCTATCATAATTATCAAAACACGAACTCCATATAATTATCATATTTGTTGGACGATAATGTTAACGATTAAAATAAAAAGGAGAATATAAGAGTGCAAAAATAAGGTCAGGAGAGACTCTTTCTGTCTGTCATAGAGATGTATAGATTGACCTTTAGTTCTTGTATTAAGTGTAGAGCTATGGCTATTAAGGGACGGATGTTCGTTATAGGTGGAAAGGGCAATTGGTCTAAAACATTTTAGGTCACTTATAATTTAAAAACCATTATAAATAAGTCCTTGTCCCTCCCAATAATTTTTGATATAATTGTCTTTTTAAGACATTTTTAGTTTTAAAATTAATGGAATTAAGCTTTACCTCAAATTTATGTGGTTTAATTGCTTTTTAAGACCTTTAAATTTTAAATTTAGTAAAACTAAAACCTTAATCTCTTAATTTCTATAGTTTAATTATTTTTATGACCCTATTTATTTTAAAGTTAAGTAATTTCTCCCTTCATTATTCAATCATGGCTCTATCCCTACTCATAGGCTTACGTGATCTATTGTCAGGGTCGAGATTAGAAGTATAATTGAACGTAAAACATAAAGTTAATGCTAAACTTAAAAAAAATTAAATATTTAATGATATAAACGGGTTATGCTCAAAATGAGTGGAATTATATATTTATAAAAGGAAGATGAGACAAAGTATTTTCATCAATTCACACGCTTCAAATTCTATTCACACGTACGCGCGGTTCTTTTCAAAATATAATAATAGAAAAACCCTCCCCGCCTCCGTTGTCTTTTCTCTGTTCGTCACTGTCAACTTTCATCAGGTAGGATCAAAAACAGCTCAGCCCAACTCATCACAGCGCACTATAAAACCCCATCGCAACGCCTTTCTCTAGGTCTCACTGAAAACAATGGAGGCATTACTGTCGAATTACGTTGAGGAAAGCTTGAATCAATACATGACAAGAAACGCCGTTTTCCTCAGCGAACGCCTCTTCGCCGAGTTCCCTTCCGAGGTTTCCTCTCCATTTTCCTGTAATCAATTATTTATTTTATAATCGATTCATTCTAGGAATTGACTTGAGACTTTAAAATCTGTTATTTTTCCTGTTAATGCAGGTTAATTCACAATTGTTGGCTAGATGTTACTTGACTAAAAATCAACCTCACTCTGCATATTACATTCTTAAAGGTACTACCTGTTTTCTAATGTTTTCGCTGGATTTTTCGTTTTAATGATGTGAGGGAATGATGCAGGTGTTTTGTATTGATGTTTGTGTTTACGTGTCTCGATTTGAAGGTATGGAAATGGCTCAGTCTCGTTACCTGTTTGCAATTGCCTGCTTAGAAATGGATCTCTTTAGTGAAGCGGAAGCTGCATTGATGCCTATTGAACATCTCTGCACTGAGGTATGTTATCACCTTTTTGTTGTCGATATAATGATGAAAATGTTGGTTGCGGACATCAGCTTCTTGGATGTTTATTGAATTTTCATGCTCATAATTTTGGCTACATGCATGTAGGTTCCAAACGGTGCCGCTATGCAATATCTTCTTGGCATTATATATAGGTTTTTTCTGCCACTTGATTTTTATGTTGATGTATCATAACACATAGGGGCTTCTTTATCTGACTGTTTTTTCCTAATCTTTATTGTAGTTGGTATCATAGGCCTGGGATTCAATGCAAATTTCTCCTTCACTAGAGTAGTGGCTTTCCTGGACTCTCAATTTTGGTTGGAAATTAATCCAGAAATCATATATTTTTCTTCCAAGGAGAATTAGATAGCCATCACTTTTTCCACCTAATTAGTGGGCAAAAATTTCAAAAAAACTTTTATGAATCCAAAATCTTATTAGTTAAACCAGCCTCTGTTGGCTTTTAATTTTTCTATCAGTCCTGACTAACCCACTAACACTAAATGCTTAGCTAGTTTGTTCACTCGCCAAGTTTATAGCTATGAATCATGCTGATTCTAAGCTGTTTGAGGGAGTCCGGGTTTGTTCATACAAAATCAGCATATAATACTATGTTATACTTTTCCTTCGCAGTTGACTAGGATGTTACTTGTATTGGCTTGCTGTAGTCTCTACTTTGACTGCAATATCTTTGTTCTGGAATTTTTTTTCCCACAGGGACACCGCTAGGATGAAAAGGTCAGTTGAACACTTTAGGAAGGCTTTGTCAATTGATCCATTGTTTTGGGCAGCTTACGAGGAACTTTGTATGCTAGGTCAGTGATGTTTATACAGATCAAGTCAGAAAGATTAGGTGATACCGTGATATTTTGGCATTATTTTCTTCTTGTAATAAACAAAGTTTCTTTTAGAAAGAAAAGAAAAGAAAAAAATGAATTTCTTTGCAAAGTCGGAATATTGTTATGATTAACTTATAACTATATTTTTCTGTCGTATGGATCTATCTACATAATCAATAATTAGTAAATTGTTGACAAGGCTTAAGTGTATTTATTTCAGGCGAGGCAGAAGAAGTCGCTGTTTATTTTGGTGATGCGGCTATTCCTTGTGTTCAAGAGCATTACCTAGGTAATCCATCCGATTGTTTACTAATTGCTGGTACCGATCACAGCTTGGGTTCTTCTCAAATATTTGGCTTCAAAGATATGAGTCTGTGTCATTTACAACAAAAGGAAGAGGAAAAACCCAGAGATATATGTCAGAATAATCATGGAGGACCTATTTTAAGAGGAGCTGTTGGGCAAATAACAAACAGCTGTTGCAACACACCATCTTTAAGTACTTCCCCTGTGTGCACACAAGTAAGACATTTTTTGGGTAATTAAATAGTTTGATTTGATGTGCGATATTTATTTCATCTCCATGTACTAGCTCTAACCTGTTTAATGCTTTAGCATTTAGTGCATGTAGATTTACATATATAATATATTTGCTTAGTTTAGTTTACTGCATCTTTTTGTTACTTTATCGGATGAGTATATTCTAGTTAAGCAAGCTTGTCGTAGTCTTGTCCTGTTCAAATTAGTAGCACTATTCAGATTTTAGACCTACTATTTCCATGACCTGAGATGCATCAGTTCTTCTAAAGCAAGAATACTTTTTGTCTACAACATAATGCAGAATGGTTTGGAAGCATGCAAATTATTTCAGGGTATTCTTAACCATAATTTTCAAAATAAGGCACTGTAAGTAGAATGAAAAACATTTTAAGATTTAAAACCGATATTAACAACTATGAATGGAGAAATTATTGATTTTATTTTTCAGTTCAGATTTGAGGAATTATTGATTTATAGTTTCAATGTTATATCACTTAAACAACCGCACGTTTTCAAAGGAGATGGGACCATTTGTCTTCTCATTCAAACTGCATGTCATGAGAAGCCTTGGCTGATTCAAATAGGAAAGATCTATTAACTTGAACTTTGATGCATTTACTTATATCATAGAAGAAAGTTTAGTTATTTATAATGTATGAAGTATAGTAGACTAACTGCAGCTGGTCCTTTAGGTTCTGCAGGACCAGTTATGGTCTTTCTTCTTTTATATGAACATGTTCTTTAATTGTATCCATGTTGGATGTCTTTCTAAGCTCTCTATTTTTCAATCTTAAGATATCAGATACAGCTCCACCTTCTCCAGTTAGAAACATACAACTACACCAAAGTGAAGGCTCTCTAAGACCCAGACCTCAAGCTCAAAAGGAATTTGTTTGTGAAAATGAATCAGAGCAGGTTGTATTTGCACATTCATCTATGAACATGTTTCTATCACCTTCTTATGTTTTAAAAGTGTTTGCTACATTTTTGTTTGTTACCACATAGTCATAAACATTCCTAATAATTTTTACTCGTTATATTCTTCTGGAGTCACCTCTCTCCTATGCTTGACTCTTGAACATTGGATATAATGCAACATACAGTAGTAATTTTTAAAATCATCGTCTTACAGAGTCGTTTAGTATAATTCATTAATTATCACTATATTTTTTTTATGAAGAAATCCCAGAAAGGCATATGAAGAAAAACTCTAGATATCCATGATTGCCCTTGACATCAAAGAGTCACCTTTTTTTTTGCCATACATACAGGATTGCATTTTTGACATCAGAATCTTTTTGTCTAGTTGTTAGCAACCTTTAGATTAATTCAAATCCATTTAGTTATTTGGAAAATAAAAATACTAGGAGAGAATGTATGCTTTGCATGCATGGGTTTGGTAGGTATTTTACTTTTAGCTTGCTATATTAGGAAATAAGTGTATTCTGAAAACGATCTGGCTGCTGAGCACTGGCGTGCAGCCTGTTTAAACCTAGGCTGTAAGTTCACTTGTTCCTTTTCATGGATCCCTTAAACCTGTCATAATTGAGAATCTTACTAGTTTTGTTTAACACTCTTGACTCTACTCTACTCTCCTTGTCTTGTCTGATTTTATTTCATATGTTAATTTTTATTCCTATTTATTATATTGAGCTTGTTTTGTCTGTTTGCTTTCAACTCTTACTATCTTATTTTATTCTATTCATATTTTTGGTTGTATTGGAAAGTGTTAGTCACATTTTGTTTTCTGTCGGGAATAGGATCTTTAATTGTCTTTGTAATTTTGCTGGCATTTCGCTTGTTTGTAATTTTACTCTACTGTTGATCGTGTGCATTCTTTTTTTTTTCCATCACTTTAATATTTTCTTGTTTCTTTAACAATCACCTTTTTGCTGTAGTTTTTCCTTCTTATTTTCTTGTTTTTAATTCTAGAAATATTATGCAACATTGCTAACGTACATCATACTTCTCCACTTACATTTTTATTTTTCTAAAATGTGCTGCCTCTTCTGGTTTGATTCTGAAGATTCGTGGCAGTTTATTTTTCAATTCAGGACTTCGTAGAAGTGCAAGATTAGCTGCATCCGTGAGAAGATTGAACACCTCAAAAGGATCAGAAAACAAAGAAAAAAGTTTTCATGCTTCAACTAAATTAAACTCTGAGACTTGCACTTCAACATCTCGTCAAGGTCAATTTCATAATTAAGAGGAAGTTTATCAAGATCTATTTCTTACATATAATATGTGCCTCATTTTTAAAGTCAAACACCTTGATGTCATTTCTAGGGAAATTGCTGGAAACTTCTGAGGTTGCCGTATCGGAGTTAAAAACAACTTCTTCTTCTTCATCTTCAACTGCTAATGTTAATTCCATTCAGCATGAGATTGTAAATACAAAACTAAGGAGATTTGTCTCAGATACTGCAACAATTAATTCTGGTATATCAGATACGTTGACGCTCCTGAGAATTCTTGGGGAGGGATACAGACATTTGTGTATGTTTAGATGTAAGGTATTGGTCTGTCAGCTGAAACTTGTTTTTCTATTATTCTGAATGGTGTGCTTGAGTTATTTTCTAATTTAGAAAGATGGAGTATAATTTCTTATTAATATTACAGGAAGCTTTAAATGTCTATCAAAAGCTCTCATCAAAGCAGTATAATACAGGCTGGGTTCTTTCACAGGTGATTTAGTTGTACCTTAACTGTCCATTGTGTGAATCTGTATTTTTTTTATCTGCTGGCTTTTGAAAAAAAGTAATGAGCAATTTAATTCTTTGAGAATGTCAAGCAGAAAATTTCTTCTCTTTTGGGATGCTTCCATCCTTAGAATTTCTATTATTTCATTTCAAATGGTGCACTGGAGGAAACAGTTGTCTTATTCATAGTTTCAAGTTATCTTTTATTGCAGGTTGGAAAAGCATATTTTGAGCTAGTAGACTATTTAAATGCTGATTATGCCTTTAGTCTCGCGCGCCAAATATCTCCTCACAGTGTGGAAGAGATGGATGTATACTCCACAGTTCTTTATGTGAGTACTCTTTACCCTTGTTTTAGCTTTGCGAAGATAATTCATGATAGCCATTTCAATTTATACATTTAAATGCAAATTTATTCAATTTTATATGCAATTTGAAATCCTTTAGTTTCTGTTAAATAAGTAACGGGTCCATGTTGTTTTATTTTTCGTTCTCCTTCTGAAACCTTTTCTTTTGCAAAGTTCTTATCTTTCTGAGGTGCATGAGTTTAAGTAGCATTCAGCAATAGTTACTGATGTAAGGATTAACAGATTACTGTTTTCAACTGTTATTAATAGCTGATTTGTATTATTCTGTTGATTCTGTTAGAAACTGTCTATTGTAAATAAATTCTGAGAACAAGTCATGAGTAACAGACATGAATGATGAAACTTCATTCTTCTTCTTAAACTCTCATTTGCTTTTTTTTTTTTCATCTTCTTGGTTTTCTCTCTCAATTGCTGTTCATCCTATCGGTAGCCCTGAGTGATTTCCAATCATCAAACCACCGTACCAGTTACCAAGTTTATAGAGTGGAGAGAGTTTTATGGGTTGTGAAACCCTTGAGACTATCTTTGATTTCATAGGAGATCTTTTGGAAATAAAACCACGTCCCTCCTCTTTAGTTGTACTGTACGCGATTTCATCACAAATATTGGACCATAAGCTATGTTTTTGGAGAAATTGCCAATGTTTTCTTCAGGATCAGCGTCGTGATTTCTATGGAAAGGATGGGAAAGTTGACTTACTGATGGCTTGTGTAGTCTGTTTGTTTCGTAAAAAAAACATCAGTTCTCCCATACATAGTTTTATGACCTCTGTTTGTAGGGCAGACAAAAAAATAAGATGATATGCAGTTACTTCTTTATATTTACCGCAATTTTTTTTGCAGCATTTGAAGGAAGAAATGAAATTGAAATATTTAGCTCAGGAGTTGCTATTAGTTGATCGTTTTGCTCCACAAACCTGGTAACTTTTGTAGACTTCTATGAGGCTCTAAAACAGTTAAAATCATGTTATTTTAATCCCATGCATGTTTTGAACGTTTATCTTCTGTTTTAGTTCATTTTTACTCCCAATAATTTATTCCTTTAGATTTCCCTTTGTAGTTGAAGATTAGTGCCTTGCTTCGGTCATTACTTTTCTTGTTCATTATTCTATTTACAGTCAAGAAACATGTTTCAGCTGTCTATTTATTTTTAATTATTATTTTATTGGGCGGGGTTTTTTTTTGGGTGGGGGGTTGGGGTGGGGTTGGAGTTGTTGGTGGTCGTGGGTAACAAGATAATCCGATGGATTACAGAAAAGTACATCACTAGTGGATTCATACAACCTCAAGTTACACTTTATGAATGATTTTTTTATTTATTTATGATGATTTCAATTATGGAATGCCTAATGCAGGTGTGCTATCGGGAACTGCTATAGTTTGCGAAAAGATCATGAAACTGCACTCAAAAGTTTTCAGCGAGCGTTGCAGTTGAATTCTAGATTTGCATATGCACTCACTCTTTCTGGTCATGAGTATGATCTTACACTCGAATGTTTTTTAGATTCATCTCCATTAATTGAATGACTCAAGAAAAGGAAGGGGATCCCATTATGTGATTGTTGCAGGTATGTTATTATGGAGGACTACAAACATGGAGCGGAGTGCTACGAGAAATCTCTTAATGTTGATGCAAGACAATATAAGTCTTGGTATGGGCTTGGGGTGATCTATCTCCACCAAGAGAAATTTGAATTTGCAGAGCACCATTTCCGCCAGGCCTATCATATAAATCCTTTCTCGTCAGTTATAATGTACTATTTGGGAACCACTTTAGAAGCATTAAAGGTTTGACCACTTCTATGTTATCATTCTGTACCGAATTATCATTTTGTGCTACCTTAGGACTCAGTGAACCCGATATGTTCTTATCAATGAGCAGTTCTGAAATGCTCAGCATGTGCATCTTACATACGTTTGATCTGTTTAAATATTTTATGTCCATGGTACTGGCTACCCTTTTTGGTCTATCTTGTTTGTTGTGTAATGTGTGCCTTCTTTTGTGTAATTGACCGTACAAAAGTTCTTATCCGATCTTCTCTAACCAGTTTTTAAGTTCATCCTTTAATACATTGTAACGCAAATATTAGTGTTTAAACGATAAGAGGACCAAAGTAGCAGTGTCCTGTTTTTATATTATTTTTCCAATTGACAAATGTTCTTTTATTCGTTTTGCAGAGGAGTGGGGAAGCTTTAGAGATGGTGGAGAAAGCTATTGTCACGGACAAGAAAAACCCACTTCCAAAGTACAGCAAAGCAAAACTGCTGGTGACACTAGGAAAGCTGAATGAGGCTTTGAAAATTTTGGAGGAACTCAAAGAGAGCACCCCTCATGAAAGTAGCATCTATGCATTGATGGGTGAAATCTATAAACAGCATAAAAAATATGACAAGGCAATGCTTCATTTTGGGCTTGCGTTGGACTTAAAACCATCTCTAGTTGATGTTGCTAAAATAAAGGTAATACTGCATCCTCTTCTTTCGTAGTCACTGGTGTGGCTTGTTTCTACAAAGCAGCTTTTCCTTTCCTCCTTAACATTAATTTGCCACAATGGTTGTTTTAGGGATGGCTCCAATGGTTGCTTGCTTAGCACTTTACATCAACCATTTTCACAAAATTTGTCAAACTATAACTGTTAAAAGTCCGAACCTATTTAATGACCACACCGCATCTCAGTGTTAGGTTCTTATTCACATGTATTTGTGTGCGCGCTCGTGTAGATCTAATGTGAACAGATGAAGTATAATCCCTTCTCTAATTCTATTGTTGTGACCATATCATTCATTCCGAAAGGAGCAAAAATGGGAAATCATGTGAAGCCCTGCAGGGCATAAGCTTGCTCATTGGCGGAATCCTTTTGGTTGACTGATATGGTGTTTTCTTGTTTGACGGGACTTCAAATTCATTTGTCCATTGATCATGAAACTATACATAGTCATCTGATTCAGGTCTTTGTACAGTGTCGAAAACTTGGGTGAAGTTGTTTGGAAAAAAACAGCTAGTCATTTAGAAAGGAGTGGCATTCATTTTGTAATAACATTTTTATGAACATTTCTAGAGAATCAATCATCTTCTCCCTTTTAGGAGAGTATACTGTGGAGGAAGAACACTTACTACTATAAATACAACTAAATATGGAACGTGGTACTCTGTTCCTAACCAAGCTGTATAACTTGTTATCTATGAGGCAGGCTGCCATTGGAAAGTTAAATATACCAGACGAAATAGAGGACAGCTTGGAGTGAACTTGTAGAGCAAAGCCCCTGATGTGTGAGGCATTCGACTTTCTATGCTTCGTGGTTGTACACTCGAAGAAGTTGATAGAGTTCCAGAAGACATCTTCGGACGAACTTAAAGCTTCCAACTCATTCCGAATGATTAGAAAGTAAGTAGCAGTTTAATTTATTCTCCAAGCTGACTTGCGAGTATGCCTTGGTTTAGACCGATAGTCATTTATATTTAACAACGACGCATTATCTGCTTCTCAAATGTAGCTTGTTGCTGTCAATAGCCTGTGATGAACATAGTCTCAGAAATTTGTTGAACGTGATGCTTTAAGCGTTTTCTTTCATCGGATTCAAGTAGAATCCGGTAATTTTCAGCTTTAATTATTATTTGAAGTTGACTCAAAATGGATGCAAGGATTAACCAAAAAATATCTATTTGTTAATGGATTTGGGTTCTGAATCTTCGTTTCTTTTATGCGTAGTGTCCAAATATGAACCCACTTTCATCATTCGTACCAAGTCTGAGAATTTTATGAAAAAAAGACTTTAATAATATAATAACATTAAGTACTTGAAGGAAGGGTTTTATCATTTATATGATCTTACACGATAAGATTTAGATTGTTATATAATATGTATATAATTTAAAGACCTAAAATGTATTTTCTCTAATGTTTAAAGTGTTATGAAAAGAAGCTTTAAAAGTATGGTAGCGTCAAATATTTGAAGAAACATTTTGTTGTTCATACAATATTACATAATTTAAAGAAAATTTGTATATATATATATATATATATATATAAACAAAGCAATTTTCCTCATCTTAAAATGAAATTGAAACTACAAACAGATCAAATAATGGAACTCTAAATGAAGTAATCGATTTTAATTGATTTCTTCAGCTTTTTCTTTTCGATCAAATGAAGGGAAACTTGGGTTTGTTTATAGACTAAGGAAACTCCTTTGAATTTTTATATTCATGAATCTATTCTAAACAAATTACCCTTCTCATTTCACATAAAAAAAAGGGGTTAAATCTAGCCTAAAGTGAGTTTCAAAGTAGGGAGATATGCAACCCAAAATATCTTGCAGCCTTCTTTGTTGCTTGAAAATATCTTCCCCCTTCTCTTTCATTTGTTTTCAAACTTTCCTAAATATTTCTTTATATGAACTATCTTAAAATCCATTAAAATGAAAATTTTAGGATTCGCATTTGACTTATTATATATTTTTTTTCTTTTGAATAATAGGGTGTTTATAAAGTATATATATTATTTTTTTTCTTTAAATATCTTCCCCCTTCTCTTTCATTTGTTTTCAAACTTTCCTAAATATTTCTTTATATGAACTATCTTAAAATCCATTAAAATGAAAATTTTAGGATTCGCATTTGACTTTATTATATATTATTTTTTTTCTTTTGAATAATATAGGGTGTTTATAAAGTAATATATATTATTTTTTTTCTTTTGAATAATATAGGACGCTTATAAAGTAATATATGTTTAAAAAAATTCTTAACCGTCGATAACACTCATCTTGCATACAAAATTGCTTGACCCAGAACTTCTAAAAAAAATTACTCCCCTTAACTACTAAGATCACCTAATAGATTCATATTATATACTAAAGTTTGAGTATGCATCTAATTAAATTTTACGCTTACTTTTCAACTCATTGATAAAATTTTGTACGGTTTAATGAAATTTAAAACATATGCAAGCTCTTTACCGAACAGCATTAATATATTTTTATTTGGTTAAAAATTTTGAATAAGAAAAAATGAATTTAAAAATTTATATAAAGGAAATAATAATATGAAAAATATAAGTTTGATTAATTTTTTATTACAAAAGAGAAAAAAAAAACCCATTGCCTCGAAAACAATGGTCTAACAGTTAGATGGCAATTTCATCATCCAAAGCTCAATGGATCTTAAGCCAACCTAATCACCACCTACCCAAAATGATTGGAGCAATCAACAAGTAGAAAGGGATAATTGTTGGATTCTATTTGAATATAAATTCAGTATCCATATATAATAGTTTAGGATAAACTATCAGCATGATCGTTTCTCTTGCACCTTTTCACACTTTTTCTCATTAAATTCAAAAACATTAAATTTTGGTCACTTGCACTATCATTTTATTGAATTTTAGTCACTAAAACGTTGAATGTCGTTGGGTTGATGACCTGATAGGTTAACAAAAAGTCTAAATTTTTTGAATCCCTGAACTTTGAGTAAGACACTAATTATATGTCTTTTTTTAAGCCAACAATATTTCATTATAGAATACTGAAAGAGTCTTTTTCATCTTCTCAAACGAGTAGTATTTCTATGCTTAAATTTAAATTGAAAAGAAATGTGTCATTTACTTTTATACTACAAGAGTAAATTACATCATTCTTCACTGAACTTTATCCTCTCTCATATTTCATATACTGTATTTTTTATTTTTTTAATTTATTCACTGAACTTTCGAATTGCTCATGTTTCACTCACTATGAATTATTTTATAATTATTTTGACATGACATGACATTTATTATTATTATTTAATATAAAAATAATTTATAATATAAAATTAAAAAAGTTTGTGCCATCCACTGTATGCTATCGTTAAACGCCACTGTCGGCAGTCGTAGATGATGGTTGTTCGATCTCAAATTTCATTGGTCGTTTTACCTCGACCTCATGAGTCTGAATTCGACCTCTATTTTATCGGAACATGCTCTGAATCCAATCAAATGTGAGAAAACCAAAATGTTGGTTGTCTAGATGATGGCTATTCGGTCTTTCAAACTCAACATGTCAAAACAAGTCTCTTGATACAATTTTGGATCAAAAGACTATCGGTTCCAAAGGTCGACGACGATTGACATTGACGAGAAGGAGGCAGAAGGGGTGGTGATTAGGGGTGTTCAAAAATACCTGACTCGGTTGACCCGACTACCCGTCGACCCAATTAAAAATACAAGGTATTTATTTTGAAAATATCCGATTTTCTAGGTCGAGTACTCGACCTGTTAAATTTTTTGGGTTTTCTGGTCGGCCCGAGTCACAAAATGTTAATTAACCGGGTACCCGCCGACTTGGTACCCGGTTTATTATATATATATATATATTTATTTTATATTAAATGTTTATTTATAATTTTCAAATTATTTCACTCTAACATTCTTAATTTTTAATTTCTTAAATTTTGCTTCCTTAACCTTCTAAATTTTTAATTTCTTAAATTATTTTACATTAACATTCTACTTTTTTTAAAATAATTATTTTAAATTCGAAAAACTTGAAATTTAATTATATTTTTTTATTTTAGAATTATATCTATATATAATTTAAAAAATAATATAATTTAAAAAAATAAAAAAAAATCATGAACAGGGTACCTGTGACCTGAAAATACGGGTACCCGAGTTTTACGAGTACCCAAGTGTCATGGGCTGGGACACGGGCTGACATTTTAGTACCCGAAAATTCCGAGTACCCAGTTCAGTGATAAATGATGTAGATTACCCTTACTATAATAGGCTGTGCATGTAAGCCAACCCAGAAAGAATATGGCGAGTAAAATTGCGAACAGATTTTGTTATGGCACAACAGTGTTCACAAACATATTTATTAATCGAACCAGGATGAACAAATTCTGGATATATGCAGAACTTGTACGCTAATGTGTATTCCTTAGTGGAGATTTTGGTTAGAGCATTTCCTTGGAGTGGAAGCAGGGACGGAGTTACATAGAAGCCTGGGGGGCCACTGCCCAGCACCCCACCCCAAACAAATTTTGTTTTACCATTAAAGAATATTGGGATAATTATCTATTTAATCCTTTAAATTTTGATTTTATGTTATTTTGTTCTCCCATTTTCTATTATTAATTATACTTTGCCCCCTTGAACTAAAATCCTGCCTTTGTCCCTGAGTGGAAGAGCACGCCAAATCTGATTGCATTGCTAATATCTTGAGTTTCGGTGCACGTATATGTTCATGAAGGGTGTTTGACAGTCGAATTGACCGACGACGTAATTTTTTTTATTAACGTGCCACATCATTAACCGAACGATATTCAATGTTTCAATGATCAAAATTTAATACAACGATAATGTAAGTGACTAAAAATTTACATTTTTAAATTTATTGAGTAAAAATATACAAAAACAAAAGATAAATGACTATTCCATTTGTTTACCCTAATTTTTATTAACAATAAAAACTCAGGTAGGTACATATTTTTCTTTCTACTCCACTTCTTAAAACATATTATAAATCAATTGAAAAAAAAGTAATTAAAAATCATTTGAGTGCTCACCCTCCCCTCCTAGTGCTTCCCTTTAAATAGCCTACCCCTTGTATCACTCTCGTTCAAACAAATAATTTCCTCATTCAAAAAAATGGAACAAAATCTACCAGTGATGGCAAAGAGAGTATGGAGCATTGTCAGGGCTGCTCTGTTCATGATGAAAAAAGGCATTTTATCCAAGCCCAAGTTCATGCTCCATCTCAACGTGCGGCTCAAACGCGGCAAAGTCGCCAGCGCCAAAGCCATTTCTCTCAGAAGCACTAACAGCTACTACCAGAACTTCTTCGCTTGCACACACGCGCCACCTACTCACGAAGACGACGACATCGCCACCGTGAAGGCCGTCATCGAGATGCTTAACGACAACAGCAACGTAGGAGGTGCTGTTGTGGCTGCTTCCCCTATGTTACCGGGTTTCGGACAAACGCCTTTGGTGAGACAGCTTAGGATAACGGACTCTCCTTTCCCTTTAAGAGACGCCGGTGAAGGCAATGGCACCGTCGATAAGGCCGCCGAGGAATTCATTAAACGGTTTTACGAGGATTTGAAGCTCCAAAATTAAGGAATGGCCGACTTTATCTATCTTTTCCCAGTTTGTTAATAATTTCCATGTTTTGAGTTTTGATTTTTGTTGTTTGAATAACAAAAAAACCTACAATAAAATCCATGCATTTCTCAGTTATTTTCCATCTTTTTGTTATGAGCTCTTTCTAGTGTATTATCAAATACATTTTTCAAGGTTTGGGATTTGAAATAAACATCACAAGCATCTTGGGATCTATCGGTTAATCCTTTTTCTCCCTTTGATTTTGTGCTTTTAACCTAAATTTAAGAGGGGCAACTGGTTGGATTGATTCAATAAGGATAATAGCTTAGCTTTTGAAGCCTGAATTGATGGCAACCAATGAAACCTCATTTCAATGTCTTTATGATAGTGATACAATTCCACTATAAGTTATATATGGACCCTCCTGAAAAGAACAAAAATCAATCACTTTCGCTTCCCCCTCCCCCATCTTCCTTTTCAGACAAGCTCCACTTGAATCTTACTCTTATTTATTTCTGAAATTGGATTCATAGTCACCACAATTCTTATTGAATTACAATTTGGTTGCAGTTGGCAATAAAGTTTTATTGAATCACTCTTATATCTGATATATTGATAAATTAATTTAAATACAACGTTATAAAAACTTATTATAAGGACTACCCTTTCAACTTAATTTATTTTATTATAAGAAAATAAGTTTTGGACGTCGTATTTATAATCATATTAAAGATATTTGCATATTTTTAATTAACTATCGATATCTGATTTATTGATAAACTATTTCAAATATAGTGTGTCATCCCGCTAGGCTCACCGATTATTAGATAAGACGTCTGTATATTAATAGTTTATATCTATTTCCTGCGAAATAATTAATGGGAGAATTAGGAGGAAAAACGAGCGGAAATCAAAGTTGAGAGGATACTGATTCAGTAAAGTAAAATGGAGGCAGCTCATGTATCAAATCAGCTTACTTTTGCTTACCGTTTATTGGATAAGGAGATGCGGGAATCTCACATTCCTTGTAATTAAATTCGTACACATATCTATGTATATGCTATGTGGTAGTTTAGTACTTTTCATCAGATTAATAATAAATGTTAAGCATGCGTGCCATATATCATTATCGTACGTATAAAATCTATAAATTTAAAAGTATTTGCTTCCTTTTAGTGTATAAATGTGAAATTTCGGTACGTGTGCACTGTTGTATGTACAGCTTACAACTTTAAAACGGATATTAACTTTTTAGTGGGTGAAATTTGAGTAAAAATCCCCTAAAAACACTCCATCAAAACTACACCTAAACATTTTTTTATTAGTATGAGATAAGTACAATATATATTTATTTAAATATAATTCTTAATTATTTGGTATTGAACACTTACATTCCTAAGATTATTCGATTTGTGTCATATAAATTTAATTCTTCAATCGAATAATGACACATATCACAATTCAATTAGAGAGTTTAGATTTATTTTAATTTAATATATTCATTTTCGATCAATTAGTAGTCACACGTTTCACTATCTTCCACCTAAACGGTTAATAAACAAAAAAGGTGCTGCTTTAACTTTAATCCTCGCAATCATTAATAAAGAAAAGATGGGAGGGATTTCATTGGCTGTGGGGCAGTTTTAATAGAACAACAATTAATATATACAAATTAACAAGGTGCGTCCAGGTTAAAACCACGAGCATGGAACTGTCCAAGAAGCAGCTGAAAAATAAAAAAGAGAGGCTTTAATTTGAGAAAAGTTGTATTTCTTTCATGCCAAACTTTCTCTCCCACTAAAAAAAGGAGCTTTTTATTTCAATGGCTTTGTCAAAGCATGCTCTGCCATGTTATGTATGCCCATGTATACATGCATGCACGTTCAAATACATAAGTGCATGTGCAGGCTCAAATTTAACATAACTAATCTATCAACGCTAATTTATCATGTAGCTGATGAGTAAGTAGTTTGCGGTTATTGCATGGAGAAGTACCGTGTATATTTGAATTTGATAACATATTTTTTAATAGTCTAGAATCTATTCAATTTTTTTTAATCAGGCAATGCACATACACTTCATAGATGTAGTGCCACCCTAATCCAGTCCGACCCGAAGATCAATGGATTATGATGTCACACTGAACCATCGAAATGATCAATCCAAAAAGTTCTTTAAAACATGATTGTAAAATGACTGAATAAAAACCATCCACATAAATAAAGTAAAACATGATAATAAATATGTGTTTATAAAATGTGGGGAGCTCCCAAATCATCCAAATAAAAACGTTGAGTTTAAATCAAAATAGAATTACATTTGAATACATAAGGGTCTACAACAGTACATACCCTCTAACACAAATCAAGACGTACTCTGAAGGTCTTTGTTGAGCTGGAATATTTGGTGACGACGACACTACCGAACTGATCACCTAAGAACCTGCTCACGAAAACACATTTCATATGCTTAGCTTACGAGCTCACTGCCTCACAAATAATTGTATTGTACTACATGCATTCACTAAATGAGCTGGCTAGGGGAACAGGTATGAAAATATGCAAAATATTGATCTACTAAGTTGTGGTTGGCATTATGGTGCGGTTGAAGGTTCTGCATCTCGGGGATCACGCACCCCTTTAGCTTGTCGAAATACCCTCGAGTACTCTAGGGTGAGATCTGGAACTGCATCGAAAATGTACATCCACCAACTTACTTCGTTGAGTCTTGGGGCATTTGCGCCCATTCGACTGCTGAAGTGCCTTGGCACTGACTGGATATCCATTGATTGTCATGTTCTGCTAGAGAGACTCGAGTGTCCTAACTGTTTCTCGAGTGTCAAACAATACTAGTTTTATGTAATCCTAGCTGTTACTGTTTCTAATGTTATGATATTAATTACTGTTTTCACTTGTAGTTTTATCTGCTGTTATACTGATGTATTTAGGGCCCTCAAGTCTAAACTATTAACCCTTAAATTACTTATCCAAAACTGTTTGTGGGTACCGATACTGACCCTTAAGTATCTATACTGAATCCTGAGTATTGATACTCACCTGTTGGTATCGATACTGCTTGATTGATATGGGTTGATTTGGGTAAGTTGATATCAATACTCGTGGATGAGTATCGATACTCTGAGATTGTGGTATCGATATTGGTCTGAGTATCAAAACTAGAATTAGGTTTGATGTTTTGAAAAATAGCTCAGTAACGATACTCTTACTGGGAGTATCGATACTCTACCCTGGGAGTATCGATACCAAAATTGTATTATGGAATCTGATTTGTGTTCCTGGTATCGATACCACCCTATGGGTATCGAAACAAGCCCTGCAGTATCGATACTCCCTGATGAGTATCGATACCCCTTTCATAAAATTAGGTTATTTTTACATTGGCTGAAAAACAGTATCGATATTGTTTTTCCAGCACTGATACATATACTCGAAAATACCATGTTTTGGCCACGAAAGATGCTAACTTTCACCCCAAAACATCCCGTTGAGGGTCCCAATTGTTATTAGAGTCTTATTACTGGTTTTAGGGGTCATAAAGAGGCCTTAAAATATACTGAAACATCAAAAGATACAATTTACCATGAACATGCTTTATAACACATGCAACTTATCAAAACCTACTTAATGAGCTACATGTGGTAAAGTTTAGTTAGGAGTGAGTTAACTGAAAATTCTAAGCTGCTGAAAGTGTCCAAGGTTCAACCAAGGACAATCTTTTCCTTTCATCTAGCTTCGGAGCTCTCTTAAACTTCTCTTTCTAAGAAAGAAATCAAGGCAAGTGTTACTAATTGAATTTAGAGGCTGAGAATAGTTTAAGGACACTTCTTAAGGCCTAATTTTTTTGAAAAACGGATTAGAACCAACTAGTTCCTTAAACCCCCACAAAACCCGTTTTTGCAACCATGGCCAAAGCTTGATCTTAGAGTCTCAAATGAAAGCTCTAGATAGGGGTGTTCAAATAACCGAACTAATTCGGTTAACCGACCGAACCGAATTAGTTCGGTTAATTCAGTTCAGTCGATTAACGGTTAAGAAAATTTTTAGAATTCGGTTAACGGTTAATTCGATTCGAATTCGGTTAATTAACCGAAATTAAATTTTAAATATTAAATATATTATATATAACATATGGGCTCAACCCAAAACATTTAAAACCCAATTAATAATTTAAGATCCAATAACTTTTAAACCTAAAGCAATATTAATTAATTAAAAAATATATATATAATTTTTATTTTATAATTACATATTATATAAATTAATTGTAAATTGTTGTTTTAATTAAAAATATTATATATATTATATATAACATATGGACTAAGCCCAAACCATTTAAAACCCAATTAATAATTTAAGATCCAATAACTTTTAAACCTAAATCAATATTAATTAATTAAAAATATTATCTGAAATTTTTATTTTATAATTATATATTATTTAAATTAATTATAAACTTTTTTTTAATTAAAAACATTAAATTTGTATATAAATTAGAAAATTTTAAAAAAAATCGGTTAATTCGAAAATTAACTGAATTAACCGAAATTTATTCGGTTTGGTTAATATTTTCGAAAAAAAGTTTGGTTCGGTTAACGGTTAAAGAAAAAAAAAGTTTGGTTAAATCGATTATGGTTAATTCGGTTCGGTTCGATTCGATTTTAACCGAATGAACAACCCTAGCTCTAGAGGTAATGAGTTTGATTCTTACCTTTGAATTGCCAAAGAAGGGTTGCAAGGTTACCAAGTTACCACCTTTAACTTGTCTAACTTAAAGGAAAAGAAGAGAGAAGATGAAGCTTTTGGAGAGGAAAAAGATGACAAGAGGGTGAAGAAAATGAGAGAGTCTTCAGATGTGATATCATCAACAATTAAGGGATTTCAGCTTTTATTTTAAACAATGGTATAATTACTTTCTTGGTTCTCTTGATTTTGGTTGCAAACTAAAATTATCACCTTTATACTAATTGGGCCCAAGCCAATCCCAATTTTACTTAA